GGGGGCGGGGATGGAATTTGATGGTTGTGGTAGATACGCCGGTGGACAAGGCCGGCCACATCGTAAACGGGCGGGCGGCTGTAAAAATTACATTAGCTTTTAAGGGGCGAAGAGAGAAAGAGAAAGACAGAGAAGGGGGAGAGACAGAGAGGTAGGTAGGTAGGACGGTGGCGTATCGGACAGACTCTTGGACGGCATTACATATGCGGGAGGAGCAGGTCGGGTGCATTATGGGCGAGGCAGATGTTATTGGCACCGTATGCAACGGCTGGCAATAGTCATCAACGCGCTTAGTGCTCCGCTGGCGCCAGTGCTGCTGCTGCTGCTGCTGACGATGATGATGATGATCCTGATGGATATACTCCGCGAAAATAATAGCAGAGTCACGTATCAGACGCGAGATAAACATACAATAAAATGCGCGAACACACACGACGCCGTGGTATGACGGATTGCGCAAAAGTGCGAGTGCACCACCATCAGCACGACGGGATAGCCCTGCCTCGGCTTGCGCAACTATGTCTCGTCTTTAAAAGCAGCAGCGAGCATCGGCAGCCGAGTCGAGCGGGGGATTCGTGTAAAAGCCTTCGCGGAGCAGCCCCCCGCCCTCCCCCCAACCACTGCGCACGCGCGACGCGCGGGGAATGACCAGTCCGCCGGCGACAGCGAGGAAACACCTTATCCGGGTCGCGCTCTGCTCTCAAGGCGAGTCGCTTTCGACAGTTATGAAGCGCGCTCTTAGAGCGGACGTTTCTGGCAGGAGGGTCTCTAGAGGTGCTCCAGGAGCGCGCGCGCGCGCGCACGCCGAGCACTTCAGGGTGGGCATTGCGCGCGACACGTCAGCAGCGCGGCCAACGCTCTCATGCCAGGTCTGCACACACACACACACGCACGCGCACACACACACAGTCCGCGCAACATTTTTATCTGGCATCGTAGTGACTCTCGCGCGCGGGGCGAGTGGCGTGGTGGTGTAGTCGGACGATTATTTCCCTCTCGTCGAATGAATGCTTATCAGCTCATTCTGCATTTGTTGCTGCCGCAGCAGCAGCAGCATGCCTGTTGTATATTTCCGCAGGTCTTACAACAGGAGAGCAAGGCGCCAGCTAACCGGCCCGAGACGGGCGGGTCTGTGCCGCGCGGCCGCCGGGGAGGTAGGTGGGTAGTACCCGCAACATTGCTGCATTTACAGCTGGCGGAATCACCCGACCCCACGACGTGCTGACGGCGCGGTGGTGGTGTGGAGGAGCGTAGTGCAAATAGGATAGGCCCATATACGTTTGTCTTTCTCTTTATCTTTTCATTTAGGCTTTTACAGTGTACCATTGCTTGCAACTTCCGTCTCTCGTCCAAGCATTTTTCCTCCGGACGGACAGACAGTCCCTAGGGGGTGAGCTACCCCCGCCTTCCCATCCCAGCACTTGCCCGGTGAGAGAGGAGGAAAACGGGAGGAACGATACAGACAAACTGGGGGCCTAAAAAAGGGGTAGGAGGGTATGGAATGGTGTTGGTGACAGACGACGTTCGGTCATTAGGATTTTACACCGGTGCGTTCATCACACATCGTGTTTTCTACGAAACAGCGAGGCGGCCGCGTGAAAAAAACACCGGAGAGAGTCGGAAAAAAAGGAGAAAGAAGAGTCAAAAAAGAAGCCAGCCGCGCCACTTGGGACGAAAAATTCCACGAGGCGCTGCGTGCGCGCGCCACCACACGCGGCGGGAAGGTGGCGGGGCGGGGCCGGGGGGACACGAAATTAGCCGAACGACGTCGTGCTACTGGAGACGCTACCCACCGGAGACTTTTCGAGGAGGGGAAAAAGACAAAACATAAGGTTGAGAT